CATCTCTCTGGAGCGCAATCTCTGAGCTCATCGTCCGCTGCTTTACAATAATAGAGGCTCTTCAACCCTTGCGTTATACATAAGCGTCCTACACTTTTTTTCCTTTTTTTTTTTTTTATTCTTTCCTTCTATCGCGGCAACGGAGACTCGTCCTCGGCTTGATAATTCGTACATACTACATATTAGTTATGTATAAGAGAAGAATATGTCTGTTGTTTTTTTTCACTTGTCGCGGCGTCTTCGATTGGGAATTGTCGATAAAACTAGAAATGAACAGTATTGGTGGACAATTCTGTAGACAAATAATTATCAGAAATTGCCAGCGTGCAGTTACAACAATTTTGGTTAGATTAATCTTCTGATTATATAAGAATGGATTTTAGGATTCTTTATTTGATTTTCGTTTTCATTCGAATCTGTCGAATCTGTAGTTTCCATTTTTCGATATATTTTTGTTGAACCTTTGAATTTTATTAGAATTTAAATTATTGGACGCGTAATTTTTACCTCTGGTTATTTTTTTTAAGCTTCATACTATACGTTTTAAGATTCTTTAACCATCAATTGAAATAAGAATTACCGAACTATATACTCCCTTTCTTTCTTCTATTAAAAACAAATTTCTAAATAATATAAAAAAATCTATCTGATGTATGTATTTATCAATTTCTTTCTGACGTATATCGAAATAAATTCATGCATGCAAATAAATTTTCAAATACCAAAGAGCAACACCCTTGCCCCATTGCAGCCCTCGGACGACGAACATCAAGCAAACATAACACGTCTTTGTCTCGTCGAATTATTGGAGCACTACTGGGGTCTCGACGAGATATCGAAATCTGTCAAACGGGACGAACCAGCAATTAGCGATTTTCCAGCCGCTCGACCCCATTGTTTCGAGTAAACCAGCCACTCTTACGAGTCGAGTGGTAAGTCTAAGTGGGTTCGATCAGTGGAAAAGGAGGACAACAGTCGGGAATCGGTTGCAGGAGGCTCGATATCCTGCCAGAAAGTATCCACGGGAATGTGGGTCAGTCCTTATCGTTGCGTCGGCGTGCCAACCCTCGAAATAATCGACTGCCACACCCCTTTCGCCCGGAACATCATCCCCGCACGGCTAACTCTCCCTCGGGGAGGACTCGTCATCGATAAACTCGTGATCGAACCACGACCGCAAATCATTTCGGACCCATTTCATTCACCGATCATCCCTGATCGTTGCCATGGCGATACGTTTTTCGACCGTTCTTTCCCGGACTGGCTGAGGGAGAAAAAAAAAAAAAACACTGGCTGAAAAAAACGCCAGTGCACGCAAGGTTTGCGTTTCAAATTTGTCCCGTTTCTTGTTTTTTTTTTTCAATTTTGTGAACTGTTTTGCGTGACAGCGCGTGCATTGCGCTGACTTGTGTTTTGATATTTAACTTGAACTTGCTATAGCATATTGGCAGTGTTTTAACATCGTGTAACTTGGTGATTGTGGCTATAATGTCGTCTCATTTAACATTTCTGTTTTTCATTTTTTTTAAATGTATATACATCGTTTTGTTAGTGTAATATTTATACATCAACACCTTGATATTAGATATAAGATGATATACTGATTGTTTTGATGTTTAACTTGAACTTGCTATAGTACATGTATTGGCAGTGTTTTAACATCGTGTAACTTGAGTGTAACTCTATAGTATCGTTTTGTTCATTGAGGATAAACATTATTTTTGTTTGTTTTTCATTTTTCTTATTACTTTGCATATTTTGCACTTTGATATTAGATTCAAGATGATATATTGATCGACGAAGAATTGTTTCGATGTTTAACTTGAACTTATTATACTATCTGTATATTGGCAGTGTTTTAACATCGTGTAACTTAACTCTATAGTATCGTTTTGTTCATTGAGGATAAACATTTTTGTTTGTTTTTCATTTTTCTTATTACTTTGCATATTTTGCACTTTGATATTAGATTCAAGATGATATACTGATCGACGAAGAATTGTTTCGATGTTTAACTTGAACTTGCTATACTATCTGTTCACTGAGGATAAACATTTTTCTTATTGCTTTACACATTTTTCATTTTTTGTTATTGCTTTACACATTTTGCATATGATAATTTTGATATTAAATTTAAGATGATATACTGATTGATGAAAAACTGTTTTGACACTTAATTTGAACTTGCTATAGTATATGTACATGTATATTTCTGTTTTTCATTTTTCTTATTATTTTACACATTTTGCACTTTGATATTAGATTCAAGATGATATACTGATTGACGAAGAATCGTTTTGATGTTTAACTTTGAATTTGCTATAGTATAATGTATGTATATTAGTAATGTTTCAACATCGTGCAATTTGATTATAACTCCAAAAATCTCGTTCATTGAGAACGAATATTTTTCTCTATTTTTCATTTTTCCCATTATCTTACACATCTGCACTCCGACTATTAGAATATAAGAAATAAAATACTAATAACGACGAAGTACTTCCGTTCTGTTTGACAGATTCGTTGGAAAAATCCTTAGGGCAATTAAATTGACAAAAATATTCTTCGGTGATTAATTCAATTATAATAATTTATAACAGTATACTATTGTATATATAATCCTAATAATCCCACTAACAATGCCTTCCGAATTCTGAACGTGTCTGAGCGCACGAGAGGAGGAATAAATCTTATATCCGGCAACTGGAATAGGATGTGCATCCGACGTACACAAGTACGATTTTCGAGGTCGGCTGCAAATTCGATCATGCCTCGTGGCACGATACACCATGACTCAGAGCCTTGGCCAATCTGATTACGACCGGTTTACACGAGAATATCCATAGACGAATGTGGAGCGCGCAGCTTTCCGTGGGGGTGCGTGCGAACAAAGCGAACGAAACGAGATTATCTTTGATTTTCGACTGCGTCCGGAGGCGGAACCACGCGACAGGCTAATTTACAGCTCGGAATTAGGTGACGGCGTGCATCTCAGGGATGGGGAGAGATCAACGTCCGGAAGACGCCAAATGGAAGAACGGAAGAGGAGTGTCGAACGCGAGGGTAGATTAGATTGTTCGTTTCTGTCTTGTTTAGCAACAATTATAGCTGTGATCGAGAGATCATCAAGGGTTCGTACACTCACGATAGAGCAATTTTTATGTGCCTATTTTATACGTGTTGTGAAATTTTATTACAAATGTGATTATATTATTAAATATAACAACTGATGATTATATTGAATGTGATTATTATATTTATACGATTATGCTAGCAGTTAGCCTGAAAATTAAAGTATGTCTATCGTAAATGTATGTTTAATAAAATTAATATACAGCATAAAATTAGCATAGATTTGTCGTCGCTGTGGATTGTAACTTTGCAGTTTCTGCACATAATTTTAAATTCATTTCAAAGTCCACCAGTATAATTATCAGTTTCGCTAAAAAAAAATGTCTGAATTGTTTTACGTATTCATTCATAATATAGAAGCTAGAAGTAAAATTTCCAAAATGTCACGTATTAATTTCTAAAAACGATTCGATGATACTGATATTGGAATTAGTTAATTGAAAAGGACGAAACCGAATTGGATTCGTGAAAATGAAAACGCGGGAACTCATTCATATAATTTAAAACGGGAGACCACGAGGATGGATTTAATATTAAATTCAACGCGAGGAGGTGCAATGAAATTTTCATCAAATGTTCGGCTGAACTTGCTCTCGAGATCTCCACGCGTTTTCTGTTTTATTTAATGTCAACAGTGTTTCCACTGTTGACGAAACCATCGAGTCGAATTATGTCATTAGTAATTCAACGTCAAACGTGACCAAGCACTTGCGTAATTAAAAAACACACTCCGCGAACGAGTGATTCCTAAATCAAATACGAAATTCCAGGAAACGAATTGAAACGTCAGAAAAAAATATACATAATCGATAGAATAGGAAAACAGGATTATTAAGAAATGAAACATACTTGCGAGTGATACTTTTTAAAGTTTGAAGCCTCTACTTTCGAAAGTTATTCATTGATGTTTTTACATTACGTAGCGGGTGATGACACTTTCCTTCTCGAAAATGCTGCAAATCGTCAGAATATGCAGAAACGTTGAAACATTTTGATTGAATTTACAATAGGTTTGAAGATCGAAGTGCAGT